GGGTTGTATGAAAGTTTAATGTCATTTAGTAAAAACTGTCATTGGGGACTGGCCTGAAAGACTGCAACTGCGCTTCAGTCACTGTTTGAGACTGCTCCTGGCGTGCATTTTCAGTGTCGTCGAAAAGTGAGTGCACCGGATCCTACAAAATATATAGATATGGTGCAAGTGCGAAATGACTGCTCAGTCAAAAGCTTCCAAACCTGAATTAGAAAATACTAGAAATTATTTGTATATGTTGCAGTTTTATTTTCAAAACGACCGTGAAATTTCTAGTCAAAAAGTAAACCAAAAAGTTCAACGTTCAATCAGTATCTTCCGACTTTAAATTACAAGCTTCCCAAAGACTGAGAGCAAAATCAATCAAATCATTAAAAACCGAAACATTAGCGTTTAGAGTGTATGATAAATAACAAATGGAACGTCCCAACCGAGTCTTCCGGAACTTCGTCTTGATCTTCGACGCCGGTCTTACCAGTAGCATTTAACGCACCTCTCCTTTCCAGTGGCATAATACACATGCATTTATGTATGAATATGTGACAATACTGAAAAAATATTGTGCGAATCACACAGAACCAAAAAAAAAACTTTCTATATTCAACGTCTTCATTTGTACATTCATAACGAATTAATCACGTCGTAGAGCAACAAAGAGAACTAAGCTACATCGACTGCTACACTACAGACCGCTTTCAAACAAATAATAAAGCGCTCTTTTATTTACTAGCAAAATTAAAACCAATTTTCTTTATTTTAGCCGCATTAAACATAAGAGTTCAAAAGATATGTAACATGTCTAGTACCAGTAGAAACTATCATTATGAAAACTCATACACAACTGTCAGTAAAAGAAAATTTTTTAAAAATGGTACGGTGATGTTCAAACTTCAACTCAAGGTTTCAAAAAAAAAAAAAAAAGAAGGAGACAACAAAACCTTGAAAAGTGCCGACATTAAAATTCCAAGAAGTAATGAAAATAAAATTTTTTTCTGTTCTTTTTCAGAAAATTTTGACTTTATACCAGTGCTATACGTTTTAAACTCCAAGAAACTGTAATCGGTAAAGCAGCCTAAGCTAACGATATAAGACTAACGTAAAAGAATAACTATCAACAAGCAGGCAAACACCTCGTCCTGAAAACTTTTAAAGAACGACTATAAATGCAAGACTTCGGAATAAATCATATTAACTGTCAAAAAAAAACCCCGCAGAATCATGAAGTACAAGCCAAGTAACGGTGACTAATCATTAAAGTTCTTCTGCCAACAAAATCAAGACACATGGAAAAAAAAGTAAATAAATGTTGTGCAGCAGAAAAAAACTCAGCAAACTAAAATGCATACAAAACAAAACCGTATACTTCCTATATCAACACTACCGCATTACTGTGCAGTTGTCAAATTCCGTATAATCAGCAAATTCATGTGAATTTTTCACAGCAGAACAGAAAGTTGAAAATATGAATCCTATTTGGGAAACCTTCATTATCGGCTATCAAAAAACTGATCAGATTTGAATGGTTTCTGACACCTGGGATGATAAAACTTAACTTCAAAAAATTTAGGATACTTTTTACAAACATGTGCCCTTCTCGTCCATACGTTTTTATTTATTTATTTTTGTATACAGTTGTTACTGGCTTAACTTTTTGAGACTTTTATGTTTCCCAATATATCTAAATAAATTTCATACATTTCTTTAATGTCTTCCCTCGACCACAGTTATTAAACTTATTAATTTTTTTGTACTACCTAACTGACTCTACGATGAGTAGTAGACTTAAGTCGGTATTTGCATGTACAAGTTTCCAGGCCCACCTCCAAATGTATTTGCTTTTTGTATATTTTGCAGAGGCGAAAGTTTCACCGAAATGCATCAAGTAATTCACAAAAAAAAAAAAAAAAAGTTGAAATATAGCAACTAACAATTCTGAAAACTTTAAAAAAAAACATTCAACAAATTTCAAGCACGGCTTTTTTTCTGCGCCTTTTCTAAAAAAGACTGACTGACCTAGAAAAAGGATCATGTAAACACTATAAAGTTATGCAGGCTAAATCCCAAACAAAACCAAACTCTAAAATCTACGGTTCCAAAAACAAACTTTACAGCGGATGTCATCAAAGCTGCGGCGAAATGCAGAGAAAAGAAGAATTTAGCCGAATGTCAGCCCCTAAGAAGTCAAAGAAAAGCTGCAATGAAATCCCTTGGACCGTAACATTGAAAAGAAAGATTTTGAAAACTATCAATAAACAAAATAAATTTCAGCATACGAAACTATTACAACGAAGAATTCGGAAATAAAAACAGTAAAACAATGCTTCAATTTAGAGGGGCAGCAACAAAGCAATTTCATTGCATTAGTTATTCACCAAGTGATCAAATAACTCGGCATCTATACCTTCATCAGTGGCAGTAAGGTACGTACCTATGATCAAAATTTGACCAAGAAATATACAACTT